TTAAGTCGGAACTTGACAAGGTTTCAGACCAGGCTGTTCAATGTGCTCCCACTATTTACATCCTAATTCGTAGTCAATATTGATAAGTTATGAGTAAATTACTATGTGAACGATTCGAATCAGTTCGGGACCTAAATCTCAGACTGGACTGTTATCTTAGTTACCGGTTTGAGCCTCAAAAAGCCGTGATCTCAATGCAAAACAGCTTTTTTGTCATTGATGCCTAACGGGGAAAAGTGAATCCCACAGGTCAACCTTCTCCATCGATAGGTTATGTGCATGATGTTTAGCTGAACGTGGTACCACGAACACTCCACCACACTCACCACCTCCCCGTTTTCCAGCATCTCATTTGGAAGAGAAAATCTATAAATGAAGAAAAAAGGTAAATCTGCGGGTACACAATTGATTGATTGATCGTCCCATGTTTTGTTTTTTTCAAAATCATTCACAGCTGCCAAACACGTGAGTTACCTCGCGATTGAAAAATAAACATTATCCTTTTTTCCAAAAGAACTCAACCAACCTGGGGCGAGGGGGTTTCCGGGTGATGGAACATGTTTATTTTGTATTAGAGCGGAACACACCTGCTCAAAGGTGAAACGATTAGAGCGGATTAGAGCCGCCTCATTTGGACTTTGCTTAGTGATATGGGACTCAGTTGAATTAATACCGCACCTCGCCCGCGCTTTCTACCCATCCTATTCGCATAGATGATATAAGTATTCACAAAATCTGTTGCATTAGAACTGCTCAAATCCTTCCTGCTTATTCGGTAAGTTTCATTTTTGTTTAAGAACAATAATGAGTACAATCTTGATGCAACAATCACAAATATCAGTGACCAATCCTTGTCTCGATTATATAGATGAGTCATGTTTGTTATGAACTATCAGCATATCATGTGAACCGATAAAAATGTTTAATCTCGCTTGCTTTATCATTAAAATCATAATGATGTAGCTACCATGCCATATTTTATAAAGTCCATTTGGTTACGTAACCAGGTACATGTGAAACAGATACGAGTGACTGAAAGTAACTATTCGAAGTAGGTTTGACCCGAATTCACATTTTTCGACAGAGGCTCAGATGATTTCTTCCGTTCCGTTCTGGGTTCAAATTCCACTAGCGGGCCGGATCATTGCACATTTTTGTATAGTATTTTGCACAAAGAGGGAAGGAACGTTTTGAACAGGCGGGGGGGATAAAGGTTATTTTGTTTCATTTCCCGGGACGATAGATTGTCTTTGTTGTTACGGTGCCACACCCTTTCACCCTTTTAATTAATCTTCTCAAACACAACCGGGTTCTCTCTAGTTTGACTGTATGTAACACTTAGGGTAGAATGTCTGTAGAATAAAGCACTGTTGGTTTTTATACCTTTAAAAGTGAGCCGATAAGAAAAAGCCATTGAATGGATTGTGACAATATCTGCTTTAGCGGATCAATCTGTTTTATAGACATTTTTTGTGCGTAAAATTCCGCGATTACATTCAGGGTACGCAATATTTATAGAATTGGCTTCATGTAGAAATGCAGTGTGACGTTCACAGGGTAGTCATATAAGCTGCAACTACGTCTATTGTTATTAGACAACTTCCAAGAACAGAAAAGATTTTCAGTAAACCAATGCATTACAACGAAAAATAAGAAGTTTAACGGTGGAGAGCTTTCTTTCAACATATGAATTTCTAGTCGTGCAAATAAGGTAAACTTGATGCGATCATTTCCACCAATTCGGATGTTTCTCATAAAAATTTGTCTGACGTGCGCTTTTCAAAATAAAACGTTTTGTTCTGATCTCAAAGTACAGATAAAACGGAGCAAGTTCAAAGATGGTCTACCGAATAACTGGTTATGATTCCTGGCTAAGAGACTTCTTGACCAATGTGGGGTAACATTGTTTACCGAATATGCTTTATTTCGATTTTCAGGTTTAAATTCCGACAAGTGATTGCAGTAGCTAACTTTCCGTACTTGCAGTTGAGGGTTTATCTGGAATTTGCAGAGCATGAGCTCTCCGTATCTGCCGCACTTGGTTCGTGCAAAGGTCACATCGCCTGATACTCCCCTAGCGTTCGATTACGTGAGATCTTCGTCGTTTTCTTCCACTGGCTGTTATTCGACTTCTATGTTTAACATTCTTTTGCTCTTATATCGAACTATCCCAAATATTGATTGATCATTTTGCTGTATATCAAAGAGCAGACCACGCAAAACTAGACCGGTAGACCTCGTCAAACAGACCCACATCACCTTGTCCGCGAATTCACCTGTTTGTGATCAGTTCTAATCGTTACTAGTCTATATGTGCCGCTGATAAGTTTTGATTTGAGTTGAAGTATTCACCGTACACGATTATTCAAACTCTTTCTTTCGATGTGAATTTCGTGCATTGTAAACCAGTCAAGACTAGACAAATCGATCAATCGAAAAGCATAAGCAGAGTACATTCACATTCGAATGGTAAGTGTATGTATGTATGTATGTATGTATGTATGTATGTATGTATGTATGTATGTATGTATGTTGTATGTATGTATGTATGTATGTATGTATGTATGTATGTATGTATGTATGTATGTATGTATATGTGTGTTTGTATGTAAAAAAATTTCCAATGATTTAGGTCAACTGTGCGACACAACTATAAATGTTCTTCGCTGATCATCACTAATGATTAGGCTACTGAAGCAATAGAGTATGTCATACGCACTACCAGATGTGCCCCTCTGAGTGCTGTATCATTCCTACATGCGCGGAGGTTTCATTCGTTCGTCGGTAACCGACTGCCCGGTTATCGCATTTTTTTAATGCAGAGAGAGACAGAAAATGAGTAACATTGCGAATCGATTGATGTGCATCGAGATGGTTAGACACATTATCCTTAAATGCCAGGAGTTTCTAAAAGATTAGCAATAAATACACAGATCAACAGGTATGCATGAAAAGCATGTAACCATAAAATTTGAAACATTGAAAATGTACCAAACAAAAAAAAGGAGAAAAAATAACTAAACTGAATTATCAAAAGGTGGGGAGGATGATGGAAATGAGGGGCTTATTGATAAGAAGAAAATAAACACTATCAAACTGGTAAAAACGTCAAAAGTTGATTTATGTTTTCCCCGCTACTCCGGATTTGATTAATTGTATCACATTTTCAGTGACGATCAAACACCATGTATAAATCAAACACTCATTTTCCCATAAGAATGAATACATGAGTCACTTGATCAGCCTGGAACGACTATTGATATTTGTCCACAGTTGAATTGGTAACTGTACATCCAATTCTCCCACCACCATTACTCGAGGTGTGAGGGATAAGTTGGTAGGACCTAATGAGATGTTTTATCCAGTATCATGGATGTCAATTAGTCCGTGATGTATTGGGACTGTTAAAAAATATAAATAAGCAGAAGATGCATTGTATTGCAAAGGGTATATGCTACCACTGATCTGCCGATTAGAGGATGCCGGAAAATATTGACCATTTCCTGCTCACCTTCACAAGAACGGGTGATTTACTTTATTTTGGCGATAGGCAGTTTGAACCTAGGAAGTTCATTTGATCTTAACTCGAATTCACTTCATATTCAGACTTCACCTTCACACACAATCCTCAGTTTATCCAGTCAACCATACATTTGTGGAAGCATAATACACTTGAATTTCGTTCTTATTTAAGCTCATGAGTAGTGCATATCAGCCGTCCCATTGGCCGGGGTTTGAATTCCGAACCCATCGGGTATGGAAGGTGTTCTTCACCACCATTGTGCCAACCAGCTCATACCCGGGGCTGAACCCAATTGCCAATTCATGTTTTTTCACCGAAGATGACACCTGAATAAGGGAGGCACACTGGGTTATCTGTTAAATTCACTCGGAAGCCTCCCACTCAATCAAGTTTTTCATGAAGGTTACGGGCTAACTGGCCACAAACCTACTAGGTTGGATTGATAATTCACATTCGGCTCACAGTTACTTGAGAGTATTTGTATGGTATAATCGATATATCTACAATGTACAATCGATATGCACTACTGATAAGCTTTCAGTAGAGCGAAACTCGAGTCTAGTGCTTCCACAAGTGTATGATTGACTAGAAGAGTCGAGAAGTGTGCGTGACGGTAACGTCCGAGAAGGATGGTCAATTCAAACCAGCATCGATCATCTTACCCGTTAACTCATCCAAGTAACTGTGAGTCAAAAGTGAAGTAATCAGCTGATCTTTTAACCGGCAATTTTGTCATTGTTGTTGACTAATTGCTCATCTAAAATGCGACCGTAAATCGTCCGAAACCTGCTCGAACACCTTTTCATCATTTGACCAGCTCGCAGAGCCGGCACTGGTCGAGGACGAGACTGAGTGAACATGTGACAAGTGCGAGATCCTTTGGGTCACGACGGCAAGTCAAACCTATCACAATTTACTTTTACGTTCCCTTCGGGTTAATATGCGCACCATCATTGGAGGATAATCTCGGATAAAACGAAATATATTCGTTGGAAAGTGTTTAGTTATGTGGGATCGAGGCAACTGATATACAATAGACAAATAAGCCACGATTTGTGACGAGAAGAAAGCGGATGGAACTTAATAGTCTGTTTTCAAATACCTATATTGTGAAGTACGTACAAAGACAAATCTATGAAAATGAAGCGATTCAGCAGGGTTTCCAAAAACCTGATACTTTGGTATCGTGACAATCAAATTTTCAGTTATTCAGTCTGATACTAACGAAATTATTTCCATTTTGGTTAGATGTTCATCATGTCGGTTACCTTATGTTCCCGTACACTAATTAGAACCCAGAAAATATCTGCATTAGCTAGAACTCGGCATCTTGATCGATATCAGTCAGACACAATCATTAATAGAACAAACTAAGTGAATCGAAAATAAACGAGTTTTCGAATGTTTTTGCATCCTTCCTTCCTATTTCATGTAAATTTATCAAACCGATGTTTACTATCACCATCCGTCCGTCCAGATGTTTCTTCTATTCTACCCATTTCTTGTGGGTCTGCTCGCCGGGCAGATTCACCACACCACGGCAGTCCGGTCACGATTGTCATGGCCTGACGGGACCGAATCGGATGTGATCAGCTGTGAGACGGTTCTGGTCGAAAGTGTCCCGGAAAATTTGACCTACTCACCTGGTGCTCCACAGCATCTGTCCACAATCGACGCGTGGAATCAGTTGCTAACGCTCGCCAAACAAAATCTCTACATGGCCGAATTTTATTGGAGTTTGCAGGCGGAGGAGAAGTTCAATTTCAGCGCAACTATACCGGTTAAGTTCGGCAGGGCTGTTCGGCAATTGTCTGTTTCTTTCTTGTGTGTGTGTATGCATGGATGGGTGTACGTGTACAGGTATTGACCAAACTCGTGCAACACTCAGACACTTTCATCACATTTGTTTCTCTCAACACTCAGCTTTTCCAGCCTCATTCACGGGGGATTGAATATGATACGGCCCCCCAAATCAGACGCGACATAGCGGTAAGAATATACACTTATCTTTTTGCTTCTATTAGCCGAATGCCAATAAAATGTACGAGTTCTCGATTTTGATGACGGTTGCTGGTGCACCACAATTGTAAAATAACAAAGACATAACAAGGAACACCAGTAGGATTTATTTTTCGAAACGACCCATGGACTTCATACAAGTATTTTAATAATTGAATTATTTGCCATACACTAAATCAAAAGAGATAAGCAATTTAGGATAAGTGTGTTCAACTTAATAGTCAATCTACGGAAACAGGAATCATTCGTTAGAAAGAATGGATTTCCATGATGCTTTGCACAAAATATTTTTCAAATCCGAGCGGTTACTTTTTAACTACTACAAATTTTATCGCGACACTCAAGGGCGGGCAGATTCAAACGGTGATAGAACAGAACTAAGAACACCAAAACCGGAGATGGTCACGACTGAACACAATTTACCCATATCCATCAATATACAAGTATGCTATCGGGAACTGAAATGGATTTCCAAAATGAGAGTGATGTTGCACGAGTTTGGTCAGCACCTGTATATCTGACTTCTCGCAATTGACGGCCCACTCCGGTGTGTGTAATGCATGCGAACAAGTATTGTTGTATTATAAGTATAACTTCTGTAGCCGTAAAGCCTACGTACATTTCAGTCAATGTACAACACAGATACAAAGTTAAGTCCCGGAACTTTTAGCGAAGTCTGTAAAAATCTGTTTTTTTTTTAAGTAAACCATGTGCTAAAGAGGCTACCGTAGAGTTCCGATGTATGTGTCTGCGAGGGGGAACATAACGATGTTGTGATCTAGTTGACCGATGGAAAGGATAGGAAGTTACATCTATTTGCAGTGAATGGGTGAGATCCGTTGGAATGTTTTGTGCAAACGTTTCACATGCATTCATCTGTGGCTCTCACAGGTTGGGTACCAACTCCTCCAGGGGGATTGAAGAGATGCGGTTGAAGACGGTCAGTCCACGTCGAAGGAGTTTAAAATCTTTCTTTAGGAGATTGGAAAAAACAGGTGAAAATTAGAGTAAAATAGGGAAAACGCTGGTAAACGAATTGAATTCGAACGTGACGAAGTTTACGGATATAGAAAAAGTTATTGAAGTTTCGTAATATGAGTAGCCTAATGACGATTATCATCGACAATCNCCCCCCCCCCCAGATATTTGATACCGCTTACCCGGGATACTGGTTCAAAGTCAATTGATGCCAATACAGATTGGCAGAACAAACTGATAGCGTAAAGAGACATTCGAAACATTTGGAGGCAGTAAGACAGGACGGATATGGCAGAAAATGGTTGAATGTTTTCCTAGTTGACAGAAAATTGTGAAAGAACTGAAGAATCAGAGCTAGCCTGACATAAAAGCACATCACAAGCCTGTCTGAAGAGAGGGTTAGAGGCGTTAATAGACAACTTGCTAATATAAGTAGAAAATAAGTCTGTGGAAAAGATTACACTTTGATAGTGTAACACGACACAATTTCTGGTCTATCAGCTCATCACCTGACTAACAATTCTAACCAGGACTGCTCAAGACTTCGGTGCATGTTCAATCATACATGCTAAATTCCATCAGTTTGCATGATAACAATCATCCATCTTTAGTTTAAACTTTTTAAACACAAGGAAATGTCACCTGTTGTGTCAGATCGTTTGTGGACGCGAATGAATACTAGGTACCTTCGTATTTAATGTTATTTCTACTGACCACAAATTGGTTCCATCTTTTCGGTCTGTACACCATAACGGCAAGCAAATAAGCTAGAATAAGAAGATGAAATGACCCCTGGGGAAATTGATGTTTGTGTTCTACCTGCGAGATCCCGGGTTTACAATCCTCAGTTGGGTCGATGTATTCCCCAACTGCTGATGAGATCCAACCAGATCGAAATAGCGGTGCAGTGCGTTAGCTCACGCCTGAGTTATACGACGGATTCATCATCTAAAGGAACTTGATTCACTAATCAATCCTTTTCTACCCAAATGGGTAATAGCTTAGCCGAATCGGTGATTGAACAAACTAGAATAACATTATACACTATTTTATGTATAAAAGAGGAGGATTTAAACTTTTTGTCCAGTTTTACTCCAGTTCATGACTCATGACTCATTTATCATTGCTCAGATCTCATTTTCAACGGATCGAATTTTTTAGCTGATCGGCAGTGGAAAAGTGCAAAAGATACCCAGCGGTATCCGCTCTGGTGACAAACGACTAACGTCAATTTTCAAGACGACCTGTTGGAATATCGACTTGAATGGGGATGCTCTTCGAAAACCCTGATGTGCAATTGTTTTAGGATGTTTCAAAATGTGTACAAGTAACAAATGTTGGAAAACTTTTGACTCCCAACTACCAAATATATGCTAAGGTAAAACCGTAATGCTTCAGAGCTGCGTTTGATGATGCCCTATCTTATATAACTTTTCCATAACCTATTTCTCGCCTATAAAGAAGTAACCAACGTTTTGATTACCTTTTGGCACTCTTTTTCATTTTGTTTCAGCGCATATTTCATGCACAACAAACTGGGTGGCGTTAGTTGAAAAAAAAATTTCATAAGACCAAATCAAATGTACATAATGCCCAGAGAAATTGCATGTATCCGGTGATTTTTTTGATCAGTGCATTTACATTGGTATGCAAAGTTTATAATGTGCCTACTCATGAGTAGTTATACTCTAGATAGGGTTTTGAGCCGACCATCACAAAAAATTCAATCATTCAAAAGGAATCCCGGCATGGAGAATGCAACAACTCGCAAGGAGTGGGACATCAAATTCTTCTTGGCAAGACAGCCTGCTTTTAACAGCTTTTATTGATGAGTCGATGAAACTACAACTGTCCATGCGGGGTAAATTTTTGGCCCTAAGTACCCTAGCTTTGGGGATTCCGAAAAGGGGACTCAAGATTTTAATTCACTGTTGCAGGAGCCAAGAATTTTACTATCAAGAACACGTTGTGCAAGGCCGTCTATCTTTATCCGTGTATTTCTTTCAATTCAGGGCAAGGAAATACTCAAAAGGTTGATTGAAAAAAGTGGTCAAATCAAGGTCAAAATTGCACAGAATGGAGCACCTTCAGAAGATGGAGAATTAGCTGCATTGGAGAAGGCAGGTGAGTGAATCTGAGTTTGCCTTTGGGAATCGAAGAGCTTAGTTTTCCCCGGCACGAGCTATACAGCTTGGATCGATTGGGTATCAGATCGAGTTATAGCTTTGCTGTCGATTTTATTTTAAAGAAACCAATGAAGTGCAAATCAACTATTGATTTCAAGTCGAATCAAGAGTGCACTTTATTAATCCATTATGGACAGAATTTTTAGTGTAAAAAGTGTTATCACATTTGCTTTGGCTTACATACTGTTAAAATGGATTTGAAGGTAATACAAATAGTAAATAAACAATGAAGAGGAGGAGTGAGAACGGGTAGAAAATGTAGAAAGTTGCAACATGAAAATGCACATAGGATCGTGTGATTGCGTAGCTTGATATTTGTACACTGGAAACGAATCATTGATCAAGATAAGGTACAACAGAATAGTGACAAGCTGCGGTGCTAGTGTATATAGTTTCAAATTTTTTGCAGGTGAATGATGTGGAAATGACGCGATATAAGGTTGAGTGTAAAGGATGAGATGTCTCAGACAAGATTGAGTCACACAAACGATCATACGCATTTAGATGTTGTTGGTTGGCAATTGAGTGGATCAGCACAACATAAGATGGTTTTTAGAGAGCGTCTAATCAATATGAAATCCTCAGACAGAAGATTGGGGAAATTACCGGCGGAGCAGTTGGTCCGATGGTATAAAACGCACGAGAAAGTAAATTTAGAAATGATGTACAATGGCACCCTCAGATGTCGTTGTTAAATTTAAAAGATTGGCTTTATAAATTCAAGAAATTTTTGTTGTACGTGGTAGGATCATTTGAGGTCAGCAGACAGACAGAAACATTCAGAGTATTTGAAGTGTTATGGTCCATCAACGTTTGCGTTTTGCTCAAGATGTTAGGACCAGATGATCCAGAAAGTGTTGATGGCATACGATTATTGGAAAGCACAAACTTCAACTTGACTGGGTTTAAAGAAAGGTTAGAACCATCCAACCATTCCGAAATGAAACTTATGGCTGATTGAAGGGTTCTTGTTGGATGCATCACCAACCACCACATCGTCGGCATATTCAAGTGTGAAACAATTGGGGTGATTGGTAAGTTTTGAATGGGAAGGGAGAACAGCAAACGGGGGTAAAATAGTCCCCTGCATTACACCTTAGTTTAGATTGACAGTAAAGCACCTAATACTATCTCACTTGTCAATGTGGCAATCATCAGTCATATAATGTTAGACGTTATCGTCACTCTGTTCTTAAAAATTGCATATGTAAACTAATAATAATGATAGCATTCACTTCTGAGTAACGTCAGTTGTACAATAAGAGACTACCAGAACAGGACGGCGATGGCCGAGTGGTATCGGTTAGCGAATTATTTCTTCGGTGGACGTGTGTACGAATCCCACTGCCACCACCTATATTCCCCAATCGCTGTGTTGCATGGCAGCCCTCTGACTGGCCGCTGTCCCCCTTCCTGAAAATCCTATCTTTATCAATTATAAGGGGCAGTCGTGGCTCGGTGGTAAAGTCACCAAAGTTATCACTCTGGAGGGCCTGTGTTTTCGAGTCCCACCACTACCGCCGAACTCACCATTGGTGTGTTCTATGGTCGACCTCTGGTTGGTCGCTTCCCCATTCCTGACAAATGTTTCATTGTGTATTCATTAGAAGGTAGTGAAAATATAAAAAGTAAGAACTGAAAGGAAGAGAAAACGGAAACAATATAGAAACCGACCTAAAACAACATCAAAATAGACAACGCAACAAACTGGTCCGCTGTCCATACTGGTCAATGATTTAGTCAATAAATAATTAAAACGATGAATGAATGAATGAGTAGAACCATAACCAAATTTTGGTGATTCATTACCCCTTCGTGTCAGCTCCCGAAAACATTTGGGCCACTTTATATCCACGTTTATTAAATGGCTTCTATATTTTGTCACAAAACACAAGTAGAAAATACATGATTTAAAACAAATCTATCTGCTGCTTTTTGTTTCGGATTCATAGGGGCCGAGATTTTCTGGATTGATGTGACCAAACTGTTGGGCAGTGGCATCATTCACACGAAAATGTGGACCGTCGACGAGAACCATGCTTATCTGGGGAGTGCCAACACGGACTGGCGTGCTTTAACCGAGGTCAGATAATCCTGGTGATCTATGTTTTGTGATTCGGCCAAAAAAGGAACATTTATACTACTTGTAATAAGATTATATTATGTTAAATAAACGGAATATTCGAACTGTCATGATAATCAACATTCTTGTTTGAATGCACTGAACTCATGTTCATATATTCCAAGTTTGGGGAAGATGTTGTCTGATGAATTCAGCATAATAAAACCAGTTGATAAACTAATGATCAGCCTCAATCCAGTCAACTCGACACTGCGGTAAACAAGGTACAATTCTGTGTAATGAGAAAAAATATAAATCACATATCAACAGGCTCAGATATGAATATTGGAATTGTATACTTTGTCTTTTCAAGACAACCTATGCTTTTGTACACTACTCAAAGCTGATATCTTCCATTGTGTTAACATTACACTATGTAGACGTATGTGTGATTACAAAAAGTGTCAGTCAGTTAGTTAGTCAGTTAGTCAGTCAGTCAGTCAATCAATCAGTCAGTCAGCTGCAGTCAGTCAGTTGGTGAAACAATCAGCAAAGAATTGGAAAATGATGCCACGTGAATAATCAGCGAAATGCTATAAATCATCCCTGAACTTCAGAGGGTAGTTTCCTCACCAATTCATCCGATATCAGATCTAAATGCTATCATTGGATAAGTTCATTCAACTATACGGACACGATTCACCGAATTTGGTTCCTTAGATTTTGGTTTACTACTTCAACGTTCTTTTATTACCCAGGGGCTGAATTCGTCCATTTCAAGACAAAAACTTTTGTCAATGCTAATACTCGTCGATAGTGTCCTTGCTGAGATCTAAGCCATAAATCTTCGGGTCGAGAGTTGAAACCATCACTTTTGAGAGACACGGTAGAAGTGCAACACCTTGATGAAATGACTAAGTGAATAAAACTTGAAACTGCAGATAGATGATGATATGGATATCTGCTGTGTTTTCTTCAAGCTTCTAACGTTACCCTGTCAAGTGAGATTCCTAGTTTACGGTAAGAAACACGCATTAAATCCATCCGTATCTTTGTGTGATCATGGTGCATCCTGTTTATTCCAGGTAAAGGAACTGGGTGTATTGTTTTCCAACTGCCAGGAGATCGTAGCTGATTTAAACAAAATTAACCAAGCCTATTGGTTGGTCTCTCAGGGCATACCGAAAAGGTGGCCGGATGAACTGACCACAATTTACAATGCACAGAATCCGATGCGTGTCAAATTGAACGGGGTCTGTTCTTTGGTCTATTTTTCGGTGAGTTCGCCAGTCTTTTCCTCCTCTCTAGGATGGTCATCCATGTCTGTTCGTTATTGGATCAAATACTCGTGTGCTTAGTTTCTCGTTTTTATCGGTGAGTAGTTTCAAGTCAATTTGGATGAATTCCTGTGTTCAAGGTCAGTCTAGCTACGTATTTTCCCAAGGGAATCTCCGTTTGGTCAGGATTATAAGTATATTGTATTTGTATAGACTTTTGCGTGAACAGATGTCCACATTTTAGTCAAAAATTACACATTTCATTAAAAAAAGGAAATAATATAAGTAAACAATTTAACTCCCAAGGTTGTTGAGAAATTCAGAAGAAACACTCGGTCGGTTTATAAGGATTCTGGTGAAATAAGGATCAGAGGAATTCTGTAGAGGTTAATGCGACAGGGTAATAATCGATATGTAGAACGCGTAGTTGAATGAGAGCAGAATTTGGATAGATTACCATGTAAAGAATGAATGGGGTCAAAGAGGATTTTCTGTGCAAATGTCTCACATGTGGACAATTGAAGTTCTCACAGTTTTTCGATAGATCATAAAAGACACAAGACTGATGATCGACAAACCTCGACGAAGAATTTTGAAGTTTTTCTTGAGTAGATCATCCACAACTACCGGGGAACAATACAGAAGAACGAGGAAAACACAATAATGAACGAAAAGGGGAATTTTTTTCGTTTGGCGTTGAAATGCCCAAGTTTTCGCAGTGGAAAAGATAATCCACAAAGTTTCCGTGCAGAGTTGTAAATATGGGATATCCACTTCAAGTTTCTGTCAATTCTTCTTCCTAAATACTTCGCAGAATCTACTCTAGTTAGAGGATCTGCGTTTATGACCGAGGGGTCACGGGGATAAATCGATTGAGAGACGGAGAAAGTACATTCAAGGTGGACAGAGGGAGTTGAGAACTCGTCATGGTGTTAACGAAAGAAGCACGCCATAAACTTCGGAATCTGTTATGCTCATGATTACGCGAGCACCCCAACAAAGCGGAAGGATATACTCCATTGTCGATTAAAACAAAACGCAAGCATACGCACTGATTAATCCATCATCAAGGGACGAACAATTCTATGGGCTCCGACGGTTTGATTTGACCGTCATCTAATCAAGTTTGCTAAGTTTATCGAATGGTACTCACACTGGTCCCCTGCCGTTCTCGCGTGCGTCTGCGAACCGTTCAAACACTACGTCTGGACAAACGTCATGATCACGGTGGAGGAGTGGGGGGAAGTCTTATTAAAACTGCACACACAACTGAGAGCTACTCCAAGAGCACAACAGTAAAAAACAATGTGGACAATAACGAGATGATGAATAGCGCAAGAAAGAGAAAAAAGCCAGAAGGAGATTAGGTACTCTGTAATGTCATTTTCGCCACTAGATTTTCACCAACCCAAACTCTCGAATGAGACAAAGTCTTAGAGTTTGATTGTTGTGTGTGTCAAAAAGTGATTGATGAGAATCGTAAAAGTGAAATGTATTACCACGTTGTATTACTCATCCATATTTGAACTTAAGCACCTTGCTTTTAGAGGGTAGATTATCATCTCGATGGACGGTTCCTTGAGATCTCGATGTCTTCGTGGTTGGTGCGCAGACCATCTTAGAGTTTTCGCTCTTCGAAATCGTTTTCAATTTCGTTGTACGTTAATAAATAAAAAAAGTCACCAGATCTTGAACTATAGCTTGGTGACCCCACAACATTGAATTAGAAAAGTATTTTAGCCGTTTGAATAGCTTGAACGGCTAATACCAGTCAGCGAAATCCGATGAGGATCATTTCGAAAAGTTTAGTGTAAATTCCATGCCTATATCTTCAAAGCAATCAGTCCCATGGAACAACGTGGCCTGCATACACGGTCCGTTGTGATTAGTGGCATAAACTGGACGTTTAAATTTCACTCCGTGGTGATCAACATCCTGACTCAGTACGATATGTATATATACACATCTGCGATTTGGAAAAATTGAATAATTATACATGCGCGTGATCAAACCTTAACCCGTAGATTCAACTGAAGTCGCAGGTGTTAAATGTGGGATCATATTATAAACTGCTTGCAACGTTGTAAATCTGATCTAAATATCAGCTGAGAGAATCCATTATACTTTGCAGCCATGAAATAAAGAACATGAACGAAAAATAGAGGCCCTTTTCTTTCTTCTGGCAATGCAAATTCCCATACTGGGTTTGGATTTGCAATCTGGAATTTGCTACCTTTACAAAAGGAAGTAGATACCTCGTCGATCAGATAGGCATTCCTAAGCTATGCCTCAATCGCATATCCGGCGATCGATCAATCGAAAAATGAGAAAAATGAATTCAGACAGAAAACTAAGTTTGTGGAATGTTTCAATTTTCTCTTTGTGAAAAATTCACAAATCCGGTGCCGGAGTGAGTATCTGTCCGCTGCAGGAAAGACAAAAAGGTACTATATTCAATCCGGGTTGAATAGAATTAAACATTTTGTCTGAAAAAGCCAGTTCGAAACGGTCTGTTGCTACAATTATGAATCCGTTCATTGTTTAATATCGTGAGAATCACCAACCAGACATTAGGTACACACTCAGCATACTACTCACTAATGATGTGAGATGTATCTCAATATAGTTGGAATCTGTTGGCATGTGATATGTCCATAACACTAATACCGGCTATAATCTCGCACAAAACACCTTTGTCATGAAATTATATTTTCGGGGGAAATACGAGTCTACTGGAACAATAGAACAAAGCAACTCCTACAAGCGATAGGCCCTATCCGTAGGGCTCTTTGAAGAAAATGGTACGCCCATTTTCGTTCTGAAATTTCCAAAAGCCTGACTGTTTTATCCGGTATGCTTAACCTCGGTCATCTGTTGCACTCAGTCTTTAGTCTTCACTATTGAGGGCAGAAGGCAGAATACCCGTGTCACCACTGGGTTGAATGTTTGGTCAAATGCATGCGTTCCTCTATAGCCCCTTAAGGTGCTCATCCATACGCAGCAGCGTCGGTCATCTCCTCCACCACAGACCGTTGTTGACCTCTGCAAGAGTCGG